GCATTTTTTGGGGTCACAACATTGAAATGGTTGAAGAAATATATCAAGAAACGGATAGAGAAGAAGAAAGAAAACCACTAACGAACACAGAACAATATGAAGACGAAGAAGAATTGACCTATACAGAAGTGAAAGAGAAAATATACAAACTTAAAAACGGGAAAATAGCGGGAGAAGACGGAATATGTGCAGAACTTATAAAATACGGTGGGAATGCACCATACAGACACAGACAGATTTATGAACTAATACAGAATATATGCAACAAAGAAATAATGACCGAAGAATGGAAGAAGGGAATTATACTGACAATCCCAAAACAAGGAGACTATAGAATATGCAAAAACTAACGAGCAATTAATTTACTGAATATAAATATAAAGTAATGACTCGTATAATTACTAGAGACAGACTAAACATAATGTACATAACAAAGTATAGGCGATTACCAGTACGGTTTTAGAAAAGGAAGATCCACGATATACGCTATACATACGCTAAAACGAGTTATAGAGGAAATATACGAGTACGATGGAGAAACACATACTTTTCCTAGACTTTAAACAGGCGTTTGACAAACTAAACAGAAGAAAAGTTGTCCAAGACTTACAAGAGCCAACATATACCAAATAAAACTATAAGAATGATAGAAATGTGTAGAAAGTGTAGATATAAAAAGAAGAAGTCAATCGGGAAATACAGCCTTTTATAGAAATAAAAAATGTTTAGAGATAAGAATATAAGCCGAAACACAAAAATAAAAATCTACAAAACGACCATAAGACAAATAGTATGCTTTTTTTTTAATTGCCGTATGGCCAGATTCCAGAGTAAGAGCTTAAAAAGGTATCCATTGAATTCTGACAGGCAATGGTGGGGGAAATCTTCTTTTTGACATCTACGTCACGGAACAAGACACCCTGGCTGATCTTTCAGCCGACTAGGATACTACGCCAGAAGACCTAGGGTAGTGCTGGATTATCTGTGTTCCTGCCAAAACCTTCACCATCGTTCCAAAGAGGTGGTCTTGCCACTCAATGAACAACTAAAATAAAAAACTAAAAACTTATAAATAACCATAGCTATTACTGTAAATCAGAAAATATTTCAGAGGTTAGGCCATAAATAATAATAATATTAATAAATAATATTAATCCTTTTTCTTCATCACCCCATAAATCAGACAGTGCATTTCTTTCCATTTTTTCCCTCCTCTCAACATTATATTTACAATGTTCCTTTCATTCAACCCGAAACCCATTCGCCCCTCGAAATCTCTCCTATCATTTGCTAATCTCTGGCAGTTAAAAATGTGGGTGGGAGCGTCCGGTACCCCGCAAACAGTACAGTCTGCTGAGGCAGATTTGAATATTCTATTTGTGAAGGTGCCAAAACTAACATGTCCGGTCAGAAACTGCGTCAGGAAGTATTGTAGTTTGCTGAACTTACATACCCGCCACGGCCTCAGATCGGGAATAAGCTCCTTCATCCACCTTGGCTTTCCGTTAGCATTCGCCCATTCTCTTTACCACTCTACTATGGTCCTTTTTCTCTCATTCTCATCTATATTTACATCCATCCTCTTCGCATAACATACAGTAAAGTAGCTGTCAATTACGTTAACCAGGTACTGACTAACGCCCAATTCTCCCAGCTTGGACATGATTTTTACCCACTATGCCATATTGAAGGCATTCTTGATGTCAACCAGGATGAGAGCCACCCATCTCTTTGTATCCTGCATAACTAAAGAGGTCACTTCTGTGACCGCATCTATGGTGGACCTTTTGGCCCTAAAACCATGTTGGCGGTCGCTCAGCGCATGCTTTTCTTCTAGCTCTCGCTCAAGGCGACCTTTTACACGCAGGTTACTCCACTTTCCTTTCTTAGATTTTTAGAATTTAAGATTTTTCTTTAGAAACACAAAAATGAAAATATACAACACGTCAATAAGACCAATAGTAGTATATGCTGCAGAAACATTTACATTAACAGCAAGAGAAAAAGAAAAATGGAAAGTTTTTGAGAGAAAGATTATCAGAAAAATACTGGGACCAAAGAGGAAAAAACAAAGTGGATGCAAGATGGATGAATCACGAAATACAAGAATGAATCGGCCAAGAAAACATAGAGCAATAAAAATACATCAGCAATCCGCTAAGAGTTATAACGGAATGGATATCACCAGGTAAAAGAACCAGAGGCAAGTTGGAGCAAACAAGTGGAAGAGTGGATGCAAGATGGATGAATCACGAAATACAAGAATGGATCGGCCAAGAAAACATAGAGCAATAAAAATACATCAGCAATCCGCTAAGAGTTATAACGGAATGGATATCACCAGGTAAAAGAACCAGAGGCAAGTTGGAGCAAACAAGTGGAAGACAATTTAAGAAGTATGGAAATTAGAAATATAAAAAGGACAATCAAAGATAGAGAAGAATGGAGAAAATGAGTGAAAACAGTGAAGTCACACCAGAAACTGTAAAACCAAATGGGATGATCATAACACACAAACTCTTCCGAAGCATATAGCTTGCATATATATATATATATATATATATATATATATATATATATATATATATATATATATATATAATAAAATTAGCATTCACAGCAAAATTCTGCTTGTTCGTATGGTTTTTAGAGGTTCGGTGCTATTTTCGTCTCTGTTGACTGAAGTAATTCCTCAAATTTTCAATTAACATTCATATTTACTTGTTCTACACTTCAGTAAAATATGAGTTAAATCTGGTGCTATTAAGGTTTAAAATATTCCCTGCAAATATAACTTTTGGAAACTTTGGTTATTGTATAATTAGCATAAAGTTACAGCTATCTAATACTTATGATAACGAATCTAGACTTATAACAGTTTGAATCAATAAAAATAAAAAATGAATAGTTAAAACTGTTTTACACTTCTGTTTATTTCTCTGCTGTCAATTTAAGATAGCTAAAATTAGACACTGATTTTCATAACTTAGATATAAAAAGCAATTTCATAGGCATTACATGAATGTGAATTTTAAAACGATTATATTTTTTTATGAATATAATGAGATCATATTTATTCAATAGTATTGTTTATTCGATAGGTGAATATGTCGGTGTTTTTGTTATATGGATTAATCTGCATTCTTTAACATGTACGAGTACTTATTTGTTTTACATACCTTTGTCTAGCGTCATTCATATTAATTTATCTATTTATGGTTACAAACAATTTACAATAATGGGCATAAATCACCAAGTACTGAAATTTTTCTTAAAAGTCATATAAGCACAGAAAATTTCATAAAATACATAAATCTAAATAGTTATTTAATCGTGTTAACTACCGAAAAATCTCAAATACCGAAACAATAAATTGATCGAAATGTCATTAAAATAAACATAAGTCTGAATTAAAAAAATTTAAATGTGAAAGACCCTGAAATGTGTTTTTAAGTGTGTAAATATTGTTCTAAAGTTTTTTTTCGATCATTTTTTAAAATTTTTGTTAGTGGGAATAAACCACGGGTAGTAAGTTAATTTCTTTCTTCATTTGAGTATTTTAAAAGGTCTATTTAATTTACTTTGTCTCGTTTGGTTTGTTTCTAAAAAGATGTTTGAAAAACATTTTCCTGTAATAAAGTTCTAGGTGCGCTATTTTTTAAGTATAACTAGTTTGTTTTTCATTGTGTTCTCTGGGTCGGCTTGATCCAAGATCTATTTTATCATCAAAGCTGGAGATTATTGTATTTCGTGTTCATTGTTGTTTCCTACAGCCAGCCTAGAATTTTTGTACCCTTTAGAAGTCTTTCGCTTGGTGTATCCTAAATATTCCAGAGTCTCCTATCGGATGCCCATATAGTTTTTGCCTTTGTCCAGCGGTCCAGTAACTCACAATCGCATAATGCATATTTCACAGTTTCTAGTTCCTTGTGGCAGAGTCTGCAGTTAAGCTCTCAGTGTAAATACCTATTGTATAAAGGAATTCTCTTACTGGTGCGTTTAGGTCAATATTGAAGATTTTCCCATATGTTTTTTTTATACCATTCCAATATCGCTTATGACTTTCTCGGATCCAGTCCTTTACAGCCTTCAGACTACCTTCGATCCTCCCAGGGTCACAGCTGGTCCATTTGGTCGTTAGATCTTTTTTTATTGAGTTGATCTGCTTTTTCGTTGCCTCGATGTCCTGATGTTTTGGTACCTAGACAAGCTTAACCTTGTTCCAGTCTCCCAGTTTATTCAGTTCTTCGTAACAGTCCCACACTTGTTAGGACGTCACTTCCTAACATACCAGTGCCCTTAGTGCCGCTTGACTGTCTGACAGTATATGGATCTGCTCTTTTCAAGAGATATCTCATTATTTTCCTTGTACATTGCAGTATTGCGTGAATCGCCGCTTGGAAAGGATGCAATTCTTTCTGAAATCAAAGCTTTCGCTAAGTCTTGGCATATTTCTGCTCCCACACCTTCTCCAGTGTTTTATCCATCTGTATACAACCCTGTTGGTTGTGGTATTCCTTGTTTCTTTATATATCCCTATCTGGAATAGACTTCCTGTAGGAATTATTAAAATTATGTCTTTTGTCATGCCATCCGATTCAACATTATAGATGTTCTTCGTCGCAGTTCTTGTGATTGTTTTATCCTGTATGCTCCCATTCTTGCTTCTCCTCGTGCTCCAAAACACAAGGGAGGCGATAAAAACCTGCATAGCTACTGTTGGAGTGTTGCAGATGGCATCAGTTATCCCCAGACACAAGAACAAGTCTTTGCACCTTGCTTAGTTTGTCTTTTGCAGTTTGAAGTGTGTTATTCCACCACATCGTCGCAGTATAGGTAATTGAGGGGCTAATAAAGTTCGTATAATCTCTTAATTTCATTTGTTTGTGATCATGTCTAATGCCAGTTTGAAACTTCCTTTTTTTATTCGTAGAACAGATAAAACATGCATTTTTATAAAATTGAAATTTACACGCATTAAATAATACTTCCATTTTCAGATTTCTCGTCATGAAAAGAGAGCATCCCAGTTGGAAGCTCTAAACGAAATGCCGCTATACCCTACAGAAGATATTATTTGGGATGAAAATATTGTACCGACGGCCTATTTCTCCGGTGAGGGTTGCTTAGCTCTTCCAAAGCTCAACTTGCAGTTTTTAACTTTACATGATTATCTTCTGAGGAATTTTAACCTATTTCGACTGGAATCGACATGTAAGTATAGTTTTTAAACCAATTTTATGGAAAAAATAATAATCTAGTAACGGTAACAAGCCTTCGATTCCCTTGTCTTCTAGGTCAAAATTAATAATAATATATTATCACTTTGAGCCAAGTAGACTCATGGCTTGGTTTACAATCTTACTCCATTCTAGTTTGTTCTTTGCTTTTTCTGTCCAATTGCTTACGTCGGGGTACCTCAGGTCGCCATTAACTTCATAACTCCATTTGGTCCTAGGGCTTCCATTTCACTTTTTACAACCTATTGTAGCGCTTAACAAAATTTTTGGCATTCTAAATTGGGCCATTCTCTGGACATATCCTAACCATCTAAGTCTTTGTGCTCTTACTACGGCAATTATATAATAAAATTATTTTAATTCTTTACTTGTTCTTCGTGTCCAATGAGTATTTATAATTTTTCCGCCAAATATCCTTCGAAGTATTTTTCTTTCCCATACTTGTTATCATTGATGGCTCAGTTTTTGTCATAATCCAGGTTTCTGAGGCATACTTAACTATTGGTCTTATTACAGTTTTATACGTTATTAATTTAGGTGCTTTGGATATATTTTTGCTTCTGTGCATACATGCAATGATTTCCTGACATTAGTCTTTTGTTCATTTTCTCCCGCATATTTGGTTTACCCGAAAATGTAGTCGGTACATATTCAAATCTACCTATTCAAATTTATACATTTTTCCTTTATTCGTTGTGATAATTAAATATCCCTGTTCTTTGTCCGGTCATTCCATATGCTTCGTTTTTGTTTCGTTTTGTTTTTGATGCCTGTGATCCAACGCCTCACAGTCATGCAAAATATGGTTGGCTGTTTCAGGTTCGTGCTTTATGTGCTTTATCGTGTTTATTGTCTTCGGATCCAGGCTTTTTTCCAGTCGTGGTCGATAATTTTTGGCACTATGGTCGGCCCTGGACCGAAATATTTTGTAGCTGATACTCTTCTGAAAAGTGAATCAGCTTTTTCATTGCCGTGTATTCCCCGGTGACCTAGAAGGCGTTCCAGTGTGACACTGGTATGTTCCGCCAGTCTGTCAAGCTCTCGGCATACCACTAGCTGTGTGGGATGTAGGTTAAATCTTATTAGAATTTCACGTAAACATACAAAAAAAACAAATCACTTAAACTAAACTATATTGAAGTAAAAAGGCACATGTAAAATATTTGTAAACGATCAATGTAAAAATAGCGTCCTTGGCGTAATGATGTTGTTGCGACTCGAGTTGAGCGTGGACTGTGACTGAGTTCTCCTCCGCTACTTGCATCCCCTCTCGAGGGGTGTACTTAACTTGAGGTGCAGTATACGGGGTTGCTCGAAAGTTTTAATATTTAAGTCTAAAGTTTTAACATAAGCCGCCTCCCTTGAACGCCTGCAGGGGTTCAACAAGTAATAAAGCTGAGTTAAAAGATTCTTTCACTAACGGTTAAGTCACTGATCTGTGGGTAGAACGCACACCTTTGTCACTGGTCGCTTGAAACAACCTCTGTTATTTTTAATTGTCACTGCACGAACTATTCCGTCACTACCCGCATGTAATTGAGTCACTCTACCCAGGCACCATCTTAAGGGTTCAGTTCCATCTTCCTTCACCGTCACTAGACTTCCAATTTTGAGAAGACTGTTGAAATGTTTTTTTCACTTAACTCGCTGCTGGAGAGACGAAATGTATTCCTTGGACCACCTAGTCCAATAACCTTGGATCATTTTTTGAAGCCTTTGGAATCTGCTAAGGCTGTTTTCCTTGACATATAAGAAGTTCCGTTCAGGTATTGCGGTCAATGTGGATCCAATTAAAAAGTGTGCAGGAGTAAGAGGAAGTAAGTCGGAAGGGTCGTTGGACATTGGTGAGAGTGGTCGTGAGTTTAGGCACGCTTCAATTTGACATAAAACAGTGGAAAATTCTTCATATGAGAGAATTGTATTGCCAATGACGCGCTTTAAGTGAAATTTGACAGATTTTACTCCCGCCTCCCAAACTCCTCCAAAGTGAGGTGATCTTGGCGGTATAAACTGCCAGTTAATACCTTCGGTAGTTAAATTGTCCCTAATAGTTGAACTATAGGTATTAAAAAATTTGACAAGCTCATTTTTTGCGCCAACGAAGGTACTACCATTGTCCGAAAGGATCGAAGCGCATTTTCCGCGTCGAGAAATAAAGCGTTTTAGCGTTGCTAGAAAATTTTCAGTGGTCAAGCTGCTCACGACTTCCAAATGTATGGCCTTAGTTGCTAAACAGATAAATAGAGCTATGTAACCCTTAATAGTTTTATAATTTCGGGTGTGTCGATCCTTTAGAAAAAAAGGTCCTGCATAATCAAGTCCACAGTTGTAGAATGGCCTAGAGGGAAAAAGACGTGACGAGGGTAAATTACCCATAAGATAGGTTTCTAATTTAGGAGCCACCCTACAACAAATAATACAATCGCGAACGATTTTGCGAACCACTTGACGTCCATTAATGGGCCAAAATTTTTCACGAATGGAAGCTAATAGTAATTGAGGACCGCAATGATTTAAATTAAGATGCTCATTTCGTACAAGAATAGTAGTAAAGTGGTGTTTAGAATCAAGGACAATGGGATGTTTTTTATCGTAACAAAAATCAGAATTATGTAGTCTTCCGCCAACGCGGAGTATGTTGTCCTTATCGATAAATGGATTGAGAGTAAGTAGTTTACTTTTAGAGTTAACGTTACCATGTCTTTTAAGGTGTGTCAAATCGTCATAAAATGTTTCATTTTGTACTAGTCGAATAATATATTTTAAAGCATTATCTATTTCCTCACAAGAAAGGTTGTCAAAGCTCCTTCGTGTAGGAGAAAATTTACAATTATTTATAAAGCGTAATACATAAGCAATAATGCGTTGTAGTTTTACAAATGAGGATATTTTAGTGATGATATCCAATTTCATGTGAACTCTTGAGATAAGGGCTGATACTGGTCGAAGCTCAGGGAGTTCAGAAGGTTCGAATGTTCTATTAGGCCAATGAGTTTCTGGTTTAGCTAGCCATGATGGGCCATGAAACCACATTTCAGAAGTGATAAGTGATGTAGGAGAAATTCCCCTTGAAAAAAGATCTGCGGGATTCTCAAGTGTATTCACGTAACGCCATGTGTGAGATTCGGTCAAAGTTTGAATTTGAGAAACTCTATTTGCCACAAACGTCTTTAACAAACTCGGAGCAGTCTTTATCCATCCTAGAACAATAGTGGAGTCGCACCAGTAAGTGATTTCTTCGAAATCTAATTGCATATGTGTTGTTTTTACCTTGTCTATCAACTCAGCTAGCAAGTAAGCTCCACTAGCCTAAAGTTCACTTTAGCGCTTCTTGACCGCTTCACATGACCCATGACCGCTTCACATGCATATATTGAACCGCTTTAATTCAAAAGCCCTTACGGCAGTTTAACTTGCGCAGTGGAAGATTGCATAAATCTTTATAACCCAGATACATGTACTCCTTTAATTTTTTAATTTTTCGTTCTGATTGCCTCCTACCATTAGAGCTTCATTAGAATTGTTGTTCTTACGAATTTTGCAAACTTGGTTTATTTGATATTGGAAAAAGTATATATTTATATTCTCCATCGCATCTTAATATTTTATTCGTTATTTTTTCTACGTTTTTTAAGTTATCGGCTATTGTAGTGTTCTCCGCACATCTAATATTGTTAATTAAAAACCCACTTATATCTTTACTTTTTCATAATAACTTCCAGTAGGCATTCCTCGGTGTAAGCGATAAGGGAATGGGACAATTCTCCGTCGCCAATTCGCCGTCGCCGATTCACCGTCTCCCATTCACCGTAGGGACAATTCACCGGCAGCCGATTCGCTGTCGCCGATTCGCCGTCGCCGATTTTCCGTCAGAAATTTAATTTTGAGCATGTTTATTAATAAAATTTGGTTATAATTATAAGATTTTAGACAATGCATAATAGGAATAAAATATTTTACAAGAACTGGAAAACAATTAGGGTGGTTTATCTTTTAATGTGGATTAAAGTATTTGTTGTTCATGTAATGACCATTAAAGTAAATAATGATTCAAGGATTTAAATTTCACTATTAAATTATTATTAGAAAAAAATGATTTAACAGGAAGTAGCAAACAATTAGGGTTGTTTATCTTTTAATGTACATTAAAGTAGTTGTTGTTTATTTAAAACTAAGTGTTTTACAAGAACTAGAATGATTAAGATTAAAGTAGTTATCCCTCCTCTAATGAGTATTAGGGTGATTCTAGTATAATATAAATATCGACGTTAGCTTCAGAATATAATTAAGTATCAAAGTGTTTCTGTAAACAAACAATATAATGGAGATGCCAATTTTGTCAGAAAAAGGAAAGAACATTTCGGCAAATGGATATCTTTAAATATTCGATGGATTTAGCAAAAAGGACGAAAATGGTAAATTTTGAAGATGTGAACGAAGAGATAGGTGCAAAGCAAGAATTCATACGAGAGATGACGTAATTATTAACGAAATCAATGGGCACACACACGAATCTGTAGAAGTAGCTGAAATAGTTACAAAAATAAAGAAACGTGCTGCAGAATCTAAAGAGACTACATTACAGGTAATTTTTTTTTAATTTTTAAATAAGCTTAGTTTAACCATTTCACAATAGCAAATGTATTATATTATAAACGTTTGGTTACTGCGTTGAAAAAAAGCAATAACAATTTTTTTTATTTTAAACTCCGGTTTCAGGTTATCAATGAATGTATTGGTAATGCTTCACAAGCTAGTCAGGCTAAATTACCTATTATCTGCGCTTTAAGAAAGGTAGTCAGGCGAACACGTTATGAAATAAATTCAGCACCTGCAAATTCTCTAAATCTCGAGAACTTGGTTTTGCCAGAAGCCTACCGACTGTATTACAGCCAACCTGATGTAGCAGAAAATTTTCTAATGTCCTATTACTCGGATGGACCCACTAGGATACTGATTTTTGGGAGACAAAGT